CTTGCTTGCTTGCTTGCTTGCTTGCTTGCTTTCTTTCTTTCTTCCTTCCTTCTTTCTTTCTTTTTGTATATTTATGTATTCGATCGACACCGCCTCTCTTCAAAAAAACTTGAGTAATGCTCTAAATGTCAACTGAGCGCTTTTTATTAGTTTCTTCGTTGATTAGGATGTCAAAATAAGCTAGATCTAAAAGCAGATCTTGGATGTTGCTTCAGGTTTAGTAAATATTTCATCACTTCCTACATCAGATCTGTTGGTTGAACGTTTTTGGTTCAATCCTGTTTTATTGTATATGTGTTATTATTATTGTATATAGTAGTGTTAAACATCGTATAACTACAGTAGGAAGGAAGGAAGTAGAGAAAGAGAGAGAATATTTTAGCGGGTTCCGTCAAGTTGAGTCAAGTTCCTGCGTTGTATATAATTGTCAAATATCGTAGATTTTTTTGTTTGTTTGTCATGTGAAGATTGATTAAATGAATCTTTCCATTATGTTTATTAGTTGTAAGGAAACCCAATTGATTGAGAACTTGTAAGGTTTTCCTCTATTTCTATATATAGCTTTTCTTTCTTTCTCTTCTTTCTCTCCTTTATCACTTAATTTATTCCTTTCGTTTTTTCCTTCTTTTTTCTCGTCCTCGTCCTCGTGTTCAATCTGCTTTCTGCTTTCTTTCTGCCGTTGTCTTTGCCCTTCATTCTAAGTATTCTTCACTTTTAACGTTAGTTTTTCTTTTGTTCCGACAAAACCAAGAATTTTCTACTAACACTAAAAAAACACTATTATCTCTTAAATAACATCTGTTCCTCTCGAACAGGTTTTAATTGCCGCTCTTTATTTTGCTCCACGGGCTTCTGTTATTACCCTTGGAAAAAAAATTATCACTGCTTACCCGGAAACAAAGTAATTGAATTCAAATGACTTATTATAGTCTGTCGCTTGTCATTAAGGCAATTTCAAAGCGTCTAATTATCAATGACTTGTCAATCACTTATCAAGAGATGATGGCATAAAAAGGCGGTCAATGAATAACGCTTGTTCAGATTGTCCAAACGTCCACTGAAGCATCTTCGAACGTACTCGGCGACCAAAAAGCTAAACCAAATCAAAACAAGCTCAAAATGTCACGGATTGCTATCCTGTTGTTCGTTGCCTGTCTTGTGGTCGCTGGAGTTTCTGCAAAATCAACTGCTCACTTTAAGAAGAATGCATTAGGTAAGAAAATAAGCCTGGAAATAGCCATTGTATTGTCATTATCAAAGTAAACAATGTTCAGAAAAAAATAGTTCGATTTTAATTCTTCTTTACAGCTGACCTTTTAAAAGAGCGAAGAGCCAACTTCAAGAGAGATCCAGGTAAGACCCTTAAAATGAAATCTAAAATAAACTAATTACTTTTATTCCTCTTCATCCTACAAAAGGAATCTTTGCTCTTTTCCTCTCGTTCGATGAGGGACAGAAAATGCAATTTCATTCACTGAAGCTATAGCGATTTTTACAACACGCTTTAACACGAAAGACTGGACTGAACTATATCTTATATATATACATATTTTTCTGTTCATAGTATCTTTAGTTTCGCTGAACTACATTTTTTATTCTACCAGCGGTATTTGTTTCTATCGATATTGTTTTTACAGCAAGTTATTGATAAGATAATGGTATTTTTAAACTCACGATTATCGCTGTCGCGTCTCGAAAACAAACGCGAGCTTTTGTTTTTTTTCTCTCTCGAAAGTTCAAAAATTCAAGTTAGGTCAACAAATTGTAATCAAACCTGGAAAAAGATTTAAGATCAGAGTTTTTTTAATGGTCTGAATTTAATTTTGCTTTTCTTCCAAGTTATTAAAACAATTACCGGTCCTGAAGGAGTAGAAATCAATCCAAAGTCAATAGTTGTCATAGTAACCAACAACGTTTATTTACTGACTCGCTCGGCTCTGAAAAAGACGCCACGCTTTTAAAGTATGAGATTAGTTTAAACTGTCTTATTTTCTCAAGTGCTTGTTGTTGGAATCCTGGATTAATTTTACTTGGCCCTTGTTGTGACGCCGTTTCTTTATTCAGTGCACCACCTCAAGCACGAAATAAATGTTTTACAAAAACAAAGCCAAAAATGCCTTTGTTCAAAAATTTTGTGCAAAAGTTTTTCTGTTTTTGCTTTTGTTGTTTGTTTTTGAGTTTTTCTTGTTGGTTTGTTTGTTGTTGTTGTTTTATTTTTGTATGTTTGTTAGTATAAAGAACTGATACAAACGTAAGTTCCGCATGCCTAGTACTCAGTTGTAGTAGTAAAACCTTTAGCTAAATATTATTTGTTCTTCACTTTTTTAGCTGCACAAGTTTTTTCAGATCGATTTTCCAGCCATGTAAACTCCATCAATTTGATTAATAGGCATTTCAGCAATAGTATTCGACCAGGTTGAGCAAAATATCGTGTATTCAGCACTTGCCAATGCAATAATTGATTTATCATTCAAATTCTTTTTTTCTTTCTGTGCTTTGGTCGTTTGGTAGTATCAAACATACCAAGTCACAGGGAAGCAAGCCTTTCATGTTGACAAACGCGACTTTACTGAGCAGATTATTATTTGCAGCAAAACAGCAGGTTATTATTTGCAGTTAGTTATTTTGGTCGTTACGGAAATGATAATAATAATATTCATTCTACGGTGCAATACCGCATGGCTTTACTAATGTCATTATTTGGAATGATTCTTCAGCCGGCAGCACGTGTGTCAACATTCAAGATAACCACTTCTGCGTTCAGTTGGCTTCACAGGGCGCATGTGTAGCCATACCGCAAATGGCATCCCAATGCGCTAGCGCTTGTGGTCAATGTTAATCACGTTAAGCCTACTAATTAAAGAAACATATACTATTATCAGGTATGTTTAAAGTTTGCAAATTGAAAAGCATTCATTTCTCTCATTCTCAACTGGCCAATTTCCTCTTGCATTGATAAATCGCATTGTAAACTTGAGGCGAATCAGTATTGCGCAACACAAAGGAAGGTTATTTCGAACTCCATCCAGTGTAGCGTTAACGCCATACGAAAATGAACCGCGTATTAAAAACACGATGTCCTCGTTCCCCTTTACCCCGTTACAATTAATGCTGTTATTATTGCATATTAAAATCCCCGTTTTAATTGCGCAAATTTAAATTTAATTATCATGAAATACGCAAAAGTTGGTTACAGTAGCCTGTTAATATGGGCAGGCGGCAAAACAGCTAAACGCGCTCTGATTGGCTATAAAAAATCACCGCTTAGCTGGATCATGCAACGTGCAACAAATCTGACCTTCACCTAACCTTTTCGCAATAGCTGTGGCAACCCATACGGTTACAACTACTATGCGTACATCATTTCATTTATGATCTTTATTCTTTCAGATACATCGATGACTATTCAGTAGAAGTATGCTCAGCCGTTGTCGATAATATTTTCAGTCTTAATTACAAATCATCCTGTAATATACACCGAACTTGTACACCCATATTAAACATATAAATAATATACTATCAGACGAACGAGGACGAGAAATAAACAAATTGCAAACTAGCCTTGTTCATATTTGTCTCCAGAAAATGACGTTATTTCAACGTCATACCTACGCTATACCTGACGTCACATTAAAAGGCAATCTTACTGCGCGGTAGGTGCTTATAAGCAGGTAACGTCTAGTGCAAATTAGCGCGGTTTGAAAGCAACATCAATAGAAATAAATGGTGAATAATTAAAGGAATTATAGACTATTTGCACCAAAGTATAATCGAGAAAAGAAAATACTCAAGGGGTTGGCAAATAGTTTGAATCAGAAAACATTACGTTTTGGCAAAATATTTCGAACTAGTCCGCTCCCTCCCCACCCCTCCCCCAGTAAAAATCAATAGATACTACGCATGGGCAATGACCAGTTAGTAGCCAGCAGACCAGCCATGTTTCCTTGGGTCAGACTGAGCGAAAATGGTGCTCTTTTCTTCTCTATATATTGCTTGGACTACGGCATACCAATTGGAAGGTATCAGGTAGTTCCCTCGCTCAGCTAGGCCTTTTCTTATGGATGCTGGTAAAGTGTATTTTGATTCTTTAACTTCGTATGTGGTGTTGGAGAGCTGGTTATGAACACGCGGCTCACTTACAGATTCGTTCAGCGGTCTACCGAACCACAGTTTGTTCATGATAACCTGGAACCATCAAGGAAGGTGAGTTAGATGTTGGAAGATATTGCTCATAGTATATATTTGTATCGAAGGCTTCAAAAATTTGCTAGAAGCGGGGTGCCTGTGTCATACATTTAATTCTTTTCAAATTCGCTAGAAGCGGGGTGCCTGTATCATATATTTAATTCTTTTTAAATTCGCTAGCAGCGGGGTGCCTGTGTCATATATTTTATTCTTTTCCAATTCGCCAGGGGCGGGGTGCCTGTGGTTTTGGGGCTCAAGTCCATCGATCAGGGTCCATCGATACGGGTATCCCATCGACATTAGGTACATTATAGCTGTTAAAAATCGGTCATTTTACTTACCAATGCTGTGGCAGTCGTGATTCTAGTTCCCCCTGATGCGCCTGCGATCAGCCTGACCATCAAATCGTTGCGCTGTACAAAAATTACTGGGCTTATCGAGGACATAGGTCGCTTGCCAGGCTTGATGTAGTTGCTAGGCGACGGCTTGACGCCGAATCCATTAGGTTTGCCCGGGGTAGAGAAATCGTCCATTTCGTTATTGTATATTATGCCCGTCACTGGAGAGCGATACTTGGCGCCAAACCTAGAAAATCATTTATCACGTCAATATAAATCACATCTCTGTCCTTGGGGAATCGCTATAGTGGTGTATAGTAGTCATGCAATCACCTCTGGGATCTGAGGTTTGATTCCTGGGGCTGTATCACATGTGAGGACAGTTCAGTCCTACTGGCAGAGTCTCCTTTCTTTCTCTCGCTCGGAAGAAATTAAAATGAGACTCTACAGGCAGGGCAGAGGAGAGTTTGTTATTTCTATCCTATTCGATTTTTCCCCCCTAGTTTTCCTCATTCAGCAACAGACCGAACACGCTAAAATCCAGTTCGATCTTTGAGTTAGCCGTGCCCTTACTTAGTCTCCCCCACAGCCGCTTTCAGTGTCGTCACGCAGCGCTTTCTCCCCTCGACACTAAAAGCGGCTGTGGGGGAGACTAGCCTTTACTTAGATCATCTCATAGGTTACAGGATTCGATCTGTGTGCTACTTCCCTGATTTTACGATGTAATTTTTGTTCTTCAGGACTGCGTATAAATTTCTTACCTGAAGTTAATCGTGGTTGTCAAGGATACAGCGTCGCCATTAGGCGCCAAAACAGACAGATGTGACGTCCCCTGGTGCCCGGTACCGGAGAAGTACTTCCCGTAGAAAGACGCGTTGTGGTATGTTTTGTTATCATCAATCCGAAGGCGGATGTTGTCTGCTATACTGGGGTTGCTCATGTTTTTTAAAACCTTGGGGGGGAAAACGATACACATGAAGAAACCTTGCTGCTGGTGGTTTTTTTAAATATATTAATACCACATCTACATAAAATACTTGTTTCTGATAGGTTTATTGGCCGTGAATTTTTCTTTAATCCTTGCAATTAATTAATTGTACTCTACGCGCGTGTGCTACGCACTAATGGTGTTAAGGTGACTGCCTACTTTTGGAAATTGATTTAAGCTTTT